CCCCAAAACCCCAAAACCCCAAAACCCCAAAACCCCAAAACCCCAAAACCCCTTAGATAATCTAATTATTGAATAAAATTATTTTGGAAGAATTCTCTAATAATCATGAAAGAATGGAAACCTAAAGCATGTAAGTGAACCGTAGTTGTTTGTAGACACTTGGTCCTGAAAATCTCTGAGATTGTGAGAAACCATCAACAACTAGGTAATTACTAGCTGATCTTTGGCTAGTTGCTTTCTGGCTAGCTACAAGTGTCCCTCAAGAAAATATTTCCTGATTTGCCCTGATGCCTCACAAATTTCAATGTAACATTCCAGTTTGAAATTTCCTTGCACATGCTTTGTTATTTATCTTCTTTTAGGTAAGATAAAGACAGATATCTTGTCAGTGAAGAACAATTTGATGGAGGCGATTGAAATTCCTCCAGAAATCACACATTCTGCGAGAGGTGTTAGGTAAGATTCAGCCCAGCTGTTCTATATTTTCGGATACATAAGACCTAAGAAACCTCATTGTACTCATACTTATCTTATAGGAAAAGAGCAAATCCTTTGAAATCTCTCAACCCAATCACTTTGGAGAGGGTTGACCAAGAGTCACGCATGAATCCGCCAGATGCGCCATTACTAAGGGAGTGCACAAAAATTCAGGACCGGGCCAGAAGGTATAAAAAGATCAAAGGAATCGGGTATAAGAATGCATGAAAATACTCAGATATTGACTCTGTATTCACCTTCACGTTACACTCAAAACTTCATATTTCACTTTCCTCAGATGTTGACAGCGAGGAAGATTTTACCAATAGGCTGCAGGAGCTTGAAATGGGCACCAAACTAAGAAGGAAATCAACAATGGTTTCAACTCTCGGATTCAAGCCTAAGAGCTCGAAGTTGCCTCTCCAGAGACGTACTAGTATTGTCAGCAAATTTCCAATAGTGCGAATTCCCATGAATGCAATGAGGAAGAACTCTTGCTTATCTCCTATCAAAGAAGATGATCAAAGACAGATCGAATTCAATGATAAAGTATATAATCTCCTTAAGATATGTAATAAAAGAAAGATTGATCCAGAGGAAACTGCAGGTGAAGCCTTGCTCTTCCTGAACCAACTTGGCCGCAAACTTCTTGTCAAGCAACAGCATATTGTGAACAATGTCTGCAAACATGGCAACATTGAAAATTTGAAGATTGAGAGTGTTTCAAGTAATTTCTCACTCTCCTCTCAGGAAGAGACCGGGAATACATCCTTACCTAAAGGAATGATGTCTCCAATAAAAACAAGGAAGCAAATTCTCAATACTAATCTGAACTGTGAGCAGAAGAACACTCTGAACTTATGGAGAGCCTACAAGGCTGGAGATCAGCTGTCAATGAGCTCGGATAACTCAGAAGGAAAGAGGAACTCCTCTCAGACTCCAGAGATGAGAGCGGTATTCTTCCCAAAGGCATCTCCAAATGCTAAATTGGATGACGCTAAAAGCTGTAGAAAACTCAGCTCAAAGAAATCTAAGAAAAAGAGAAGAGTCAAAACTAAGAAGCCAAAGGGATCCAAGAAGGGCAAGAAGAATGCTGAAGCCAAGCGCAAGAATATGGTATACCTCTCCCAGAAAGTTACTAGTGGAGAGCAGTCACCCAAAAAGAGAAGAGTCCGTAGAAAAGTTAAGACGAAGCAGACCAAGGTCAACCATCCATGTAGTAGCATTGTTGAGAATTTGAACGACATCCTTAACAACATGGATAACCTGAAGCCCATTGAAGAGACCAAGTTCAGGAAACCTTCCATCAGGAAGATGTCTTGCGAGATAATTGGAGAAAATGAGATTACTAGTCCAAAGAAGAGTCCCAGAAAATCTCCAAGGAAGCAAAGAACCAAAAGAAGACTCAATTCCAAGAGATCAATTAAGAAGTTACCCAAGAACAAAGAGAAGAACGCAAAGAACAATCTGAAGACAATGATGGATATCTCCATGATTGTTGCCAATCTTGACGAAGTTCTGGCTGATGGTAAGATCTCTTTCTAATTTGATTCATTAATTCTCACTTATCTTGGCTGATAGCTATAAAAATTTTATCATGTGCTAATAACTCTTCGGGTTTCACACTTTCCTATCAGAAGCTATCAACATAGCTTCTGATAGGATGTATGGTAGATATTTCCCCCTAGTACTTACGCCTGCTTCTCTACATCTTAGAAGGTATGATGGCTGCTTTCATATATCAGGGCTTCCTGTGACCCCTTAATTTCTTCACCTAAGGCACTTGCAGCCATGAATTATGACCTAGGGGGTTAATACCTAGTGTTACTAAACTTGGGGCTCCAAAGGGCACTAAGGGGTCTTCCCTGGTAGCCTATGAAACCCTTGTTAGAAATGCCAACTAGTTTAGTGTAGTAGCCAAGATCTCAGAAATTATAAAAAGCGTGTTTCTTTTTCTAATATTTCTGAGTTGAAATTTACTCATAATGTTTGTAACCTGGTTTGTTACAAGGAATAATTGAGGTGATTAAATTGCCAAATTTCTGACAACTGCACCATTGTTGCTTTCCAAACATTAATTATCTAAATTTGCTTGCCTAAACTATCTCTCTGCCAAATGCCCTAATGGCGATATAGAAGACTCAAAAGAGCCAGCGACCACGAGGGCTTCCATGAGCAAGCTGAATTCCCAAAACCATGTCACTCAAATACCAGCCAAGCTGATTAGGTTTGGGTCGATGACTCACTTCTAATAAACCTAAAAATACGAAAATTAGATTCCTATTAAATTTGCAAATCAAATTTCTTATAAAACTTAGCAAAAACTCTTGAATAAATATGAACAGATTCTAAACTCTTTTCTAATTACCCTATCTCTCCCATCTTTTCGAATTAGCATAAAATCCTAAAATATTTCCATAAAAAAATTCCAATCCCAAAACCCCATCCTTTGGTCCAAAACCGGTTTCCGACCTCATTCCATACCTCCAAAAACCCGTAAACCACCTCCAAAATCAATTTTCTCACTTTTTTAATTATTTATTCCCAAACCTCCTTCTCCATCCTTCTTCCACCATTTTCTCCCTCTAACCCCCCAAAAGATCCCTCAAATGCCAAATCCCTTCCTAAATCCGCCTCCTGATCCTCTAGTGCAGCTTTTCCATCCAAGTGTTATTCAATAAAATGCAAATAAAAAGGGGTTTTGGGGTTTTGGGGTTTTGGGG